TTATATGTAATCAGATGACTCTCTTCAGCTTGTTAACTAAATTCATTTCTCAGTTGGTAAGCATCATGTCACGGACACCCAAATAACTAGACCGTGCGGTCTTAGCATTCAATAATTTCTTTCCCTCACGAGAAAATGTTAAGTTAGCCTTTCAATACTTACAAATAATTTAACCAATGAGGCTAAATTATAACAACTTTAAGTAGATGATTTGAAATAGGAAATATAAGGAAAACAACTAAGTTTTTGAGAACTCTCTTTATATATAAATGAAAGAAAAACTTTACAATCTCTCTCAAGTATTCATCTCATCTCACTCCATATGATTTACAAATAAGACATCTCTATTTATAGGCAAAACCTTGCAAGTCGTCTTGGAATCAATGGCCAAAATTAATTTTCATCCAAAGGTCCACATTGGTTGCTAGTTGCATTAATCTCATTTGATCAAGTAGTAATTCTCTGCATTTTCCAATGTAAGTTGCATGTTACTTTCTAACCTCATGCTAGTTGGCATCAAGATGTATATCTCTACAATTCAAAGCCTACCGCAAAGTTCATAAAGGCTTGGTTAGAAGGTTTGAAGGTTCATTTCCCATCATGGCTAAAGTTGGAAGAGCTTCCTACTGGCTAGATCTCCCAAGCACTTTGAAGATCCACCCAGAATTTCATGCAAGCATGTTCAAGCCATATAGGAAGCCATACAGGCTGGACTTGGAAGATCCGGGAAGAAACAAATTACAAAGGGCGCCTCCCATTGTAACAAAATCTTTTGAGAAAGACGTTGAATTCATTTTGGACGATCGAGAGGTGAGACAGAGGGGCGTTTTCCCTTTCTCTAAGTTAAAAACTGCTATTTTGGGAAGGAAAAATACAATGGATTGCGGTCGGATGTTTTGGGGACACAAGTGGGCAACTTGGCCAACTTGTACAACTTGTGCCACTTGTCTATTTGTGCCACTTGCAAGATAATGCCAAGGAGGAAATAAAGTTCAATTTGGCTACTATGAAAGTGACTTGTTCACTTACATGTGAATTGTAGAGATATGCCACTTGATGCCAACAAGCATAAGGTTGGTAAGTAACATGCAACTTGCATTGGAAAGTGTAGAGAATTACCACTTGATCAAAGGAGATTAACGCAACTTGTAACATATGATGACCATTGGATCAAAATTAGTCTTGGCCATTGATTCCAAGACAATTTGTAAGGTATTGCCTATAAATAAAGATGTAGCCTCATTTGTAAATCATATGGAATGAATTATTTGAATACTTGAGAGAGATTGTAAAGTTTTCCTAATGATTATGAGAATTAATTTTTTGTTTGTTAGAGACAAAAGTGGGCTCTACCTGTGAGTGAAAAAGTAAAAAAATGACAGCTGACTTAGGAACGTAACGATCAAAAAATTGATTTTTTGGGATGAAAAATCAGAACCAAATGGGGACTATATATAAAGAGAGTTCTCTCGAACTTGTTTTCCTTATATTTCCTACTTCAAATCATTTACTCAAAATTGTTATAATTTAGCCTCATTGGTTAAATTATTTGTGAGCGTTAAAAGACTGACGTAACGTTTTCTCATGAGAGACGGGAATTACTGAACGTTAAGGCTGCACAGTTCTAATTGTTGGGTGTAACGAAACTAGGTCTGCGACAATCAGCTGACTTATTGGTGTATAATTCTTTTAAGTAAATCATTAGTAATTTGAAATCTGCAATACAAGATTTTCTTTGGAGTATTTCCTAGCTACCATTGGTGTGTAGCATTTTTGTTATTGCATCTTGGAAAAATTCCTATTTGTTGACACTATATTTTTCATGTTATGTTTGTAGTGCAAGCCATTTTCGGCATTATCCAATTGAATACAAGGCTGCGGTGATTGAGTTGCTTGGAAAAGCTTCTGTAATTTATTCTAAAAGATTACGGCAACTTGAAGGTGAGAAGATGGGCTTTGAGGGCACACACGATCAGATCTCTGGACCCTTTTGAAATCTAAAAAAAGCTGTAGAGTGATCAAGTTAGAGTTTCTTGAGGATTATCCTTGACTTGAATGACTTCTTATCTGTTCCAAATTCCATAGAATATCACGAGGGTAGAGATTTTGGATCTGTGCAGGATGAACGTAAAGAGCCTTACATACGTCTATCCAGCCTACCAAGCATAAGTGCTCATGGGGTTCTTGGTCAATTCCTCTTCGACGTTTGTGTACCCAAGAATGTGGAAGATTGGGATCTAAAATCATCACCGTCCTTGAGAAAGGTACTGTCTGCCTCTACACGAAGGAATTCGTCGTTGAATCCTATTAAATGCATTTGTCGTTCAAGATTATAAATGACACAAGGACTTCCCTTTCTCATGAAGACTACTCTGGATTAACCAGAAAGTAGACACTGTGATTTGTACATCATCTGGGGCAGCAACATTATCTGGAATCTTATTGCCTTTCTACTGACACCAAATGTATAGGTATCTTATCGGCCAATTGTAACTTATGATTGTAGATAGCTGAAGTCAAATAAGAATCCGACCTATTCCTTCTTTTTCTTCTTATGATTGTAGATAGCTGAAGTCAAATAAGAATCCGACCTATTCCTTCTTTTTCTTACTTGAGCCTCGCACTAGATGTAGAACTAAAAGCATCTCGCAGAAATTCTCTGCGATATCTGCACGCAATAGTTAAGTAACTATGATACAAACACAAATTTCCAAGCGAAGGTTGTTTATTGAGAACCATAAGATATAGTTAATCTGTCAATCGCATTTCTCATTGTATATATTGCATTTGTTGATGAGTCCCAATGAACTTGTTTTTAACATTCTGTCCCAAGGAAAAAAACTTAC